GAGCTTTAAATTGACAATGAAATATAAGACTTCAGGCTTTGTTTAACCACCCGCTGTCTCTCTTGTCTGTTTCCTCACTGTTAAGGCGGCTGAGTGAGGTCCAGCAGCACGTTTTCATCCACATCTCCATCTGTTTTATTTAAGGCTGGACTGCTGAATGTGCCCCAGGTGCTGCAGGTTTCTGTTCGTGTCAAGGAGCTGCTGTCTCAGCTGAGGCCCAACGCTGTGGCACTAGTCGATGCCTTCGACCACCACGACAGGAAGCTGAATTCGGTCTTGGGACGATATGATGGCAACGTGTATGAGAACTTGTTTGAGTGGGCTCGCCGCTCACCGCTAAACTCCACAGAGGTCAGTTATATTCACAGGGATGAAATAAAAGTAGTGTCACGGCACAGGTGGTACTGATGAAATTCTCCTTTGTTAGATCTAAGGGATTTAATTACCACTATGCAGTAAGGCTTACAAGCTACTAACAGGCTTCAATGTACGCTAAATGCTAGCAACAAGAACCGGATGCAGGCCTTACCTGATCCCCGGTGAGCTCAGTCTACATGTTCAATATTTCAGTCTAAATAATATTCCATTCCTTCTTCCTTCCCCAGGTCCATGAATCCTTCCACAAGTACCTGAAGCCCCTGCGGTCCAAACTGTGAGCGGACCCCTGGCACCTTGATTCCTGGCTGAGACCCATCAACACTGCATATATAAGCACAACCTTAGCCACATTAACACATCATATCATTTCTGGTATTTACCAGTCTGCATTGATTTAGCCTTCATCTCTATAAGTGGTGAGTTGATCACCATACTCAGCCACTCTAAAGGCCATGGTATACTGCAACATGTTGGAGCTGTCTACATTGATCTCTACACAGTGGGCTGTAAACAGGGTGGACATCCTAAACAATCTAAAAGTAATTATTGAGGAGAATGAAAGCAAAACCAGGAATGAAAATTCAAAATCTCTAGTGAGATCATTATTTTGCGTAAAAAATATATATTTTAAGAATACTGAAAACAATCAAATATTTGCACTTTTAGATGACCATGTTTTCTGTCTGCTGCATGTCTGATGGCTCCTCATTATGAGCCAGCCAAGATGGAAATGCCATTTTTTTTTTTTTTTTTTTTTTTTTTTTTCTAACAAGAACAAAATGTTGTTATGAATGTTTCACATATTCGAGCGCTTTATGTTCGGAACAAACCAACAGCAAAATCTGTGTTGGTTGTTTCCCCTGACGACGAGGACCACCATTTTATTTGATTACACACTGTGCCATTTGTCATGATTGTTATTAAAGAGCTGTAGTTCATCAACAACCTTTATCAATTGCTGTAGGCATTAAGACGGAGATGAACAAAGTGAAGATATAGAATATCTCACATAAAATACTGAAAACCATTTTGAAACCATCAGTAGATAAAACCTGCATATACATCAGCTGTTCTCCAGAGCCGTAAGAATTTAAAATGCCTTAAATGTCACTGTCCTACATTGTATCAGACTGTTCCTCACAGCCTTAAGTTGATACTTCCCTTCAAGTGAATGCTTTGTACAATCAAATACTCCCTTTCAGGCCTCCTTTTGTAGAGAACAGCGGCTGCGATCAGCTTGAATTCAGTCACAATGGTCTTAATATTTAAAATCTTTCAATTATCATAAAGGTAAAACAATTTGCCTTTACTCTGAGCCCCACCACCCGTCCCACCTTGTTCCGTATAATGAATAACATAGTGATACTTTAATGACTTTACAGATACCAGCGTGTACGTTATATACACCTAACTGTACTTTGACAGAAGCTGAGCTCAATAGAGAGAATAGGGCCCATCAAGACACTACGAATGTGAGACAGTGGTATTATTTACAATGACTTACAGGAGACGAAAGGAATCACTTTGGAATGATTTGTTCTAAATGCCTCAATTTCTGAGCTGTGGCGGCTCTCTGTCAAGCAGCGTGTTCTATCATTGGAATGAACGATGACACYATTCTGTGCGTCCACATGCTCCTGAATGGGTTTGTGGACAGAAAGCTTTCTGCAGATAATGGTGAAATATGTCAAATGTGTAAAGAGCACCTGTGAGGACAGGTTGTATGAATTTATGACCATTATCATGTGTTTAATGAGGCCACATATGCACTGTTTATGTGAATTAGTATTCTCCCTCCCTGCTGTGAGGGGTTGATATATTATAAAGAATGGTAAAAAAAAACGCATTTCAAACCACACACTTTAAATAAATCCTTTGTTAATGTGCTACACTGTTTAAATCCTGCTGACTGAATTGTTGTGGTTCATATATGATGTTCATTAATGCTTCTCTCTGTTATTACTGTTTCAGAAACAAAAACCGTTATAGAAAAAACCTGTAATAATGAAGTGACTCAGCAAACAAATATAATATAATTGTTGGTAGATTTGTGATCTTGGTTTATCTCAGTGGGCAGAAGTTTATTTTTGTCACAGTGCCACCAAATCCAACAGATCGGTTAAAAGTAGCAACAGAACGACTCCAGTAAAATGTAATGAGTTTGTTTGACTGTAATGACACGATGATGAAAAGGAGAGCTTTAATCTAAAGCCTCACTGAACTGTAAAGATGATTTCTGAGATAATTATGTGCCTGAGGAAATTGTCTTTACTTAAAATAATTAACTAATTGAGTTTCAGTACAAGGCGATTACTGTTTCATTTCTCTTTGTATGACTTTTAATCCGTTAACTTCTGCCGTGAGGGCACGATTATCAATATGTCACGACTAAGCTCTTTATTCACCATGTTTGTGTGATTGTGGTTTATTGAATAATGATTTTAAACAATATGATTGTAATAGTAAGTAATTTGACATGTAAGTTGTATAAATAAATAAACTAAATGAGTAGTGTGTTATGTGTTTATGTCTTGATCCTGCAGTTAACCAGCTTGAACAGTATGAAGTACTCTTTGCAAAAGTCTACATTAAAAAATTTTAGCAAATGCATAAAAATGAGGCATTTGTAAGGTTGCGTTAAACTAAATGATTGGTGTATTTTGGGTTTATCTGTCTTGATCATGAATGACAGGAAGTAAACATGGACCTAAGCTGTTAGGGAAAACGGATCGTCATTTTGGAAGATACTCGTTGATTTAGCCTCGCTTGAAAAAAAATGAAACCTTTCCTTTAAAGCTACATACCACCCATAATGCACCACTGTCTTGCAGTAATGTAATTGGCTATCTTCATAATTCAGGGACTGTTGCTTGCTCCATTCAAAGAGAACATCTGCTGTCGTAAAAACATCATCCGATCCTCAAATATATTATCCACAGAAATTGGCGCCAATATTTTAAGTTTGATTTGTGTGCCGTCTGCTAATATGGCACAAATCTAATGCTACATTTTGAACATTTTGTTAATATATTGAACTACCAACAGCTACAAATATCATAGCGTTGATAAATATGTGGTAAATAATCAAAAAAAACTGTTTTTTGTGGATTATATTTATTGAATTTTTAAGGAAATTTAGTTTTTCCATCCTGTCAGTTATAATAAGATTTACTTACATTTTACAATGTGTCTTTGCCTGGTTGGACGTCATTCAGCAGTGAAGAGGCTGCCTAATATGTTCTCATAACTGATACAACTGATGGCCAAAATTATGTAAGTAAAACCAGATAAAAATGTATTTCCCCTTTAAAAGGACACTTTTAAAAGTTTTAATTCTAGTAATGCTTAATGTTTAAAACCGACAATATCCAAAGGATTTGTTTGTGTGTTAGTTGTGTGTTCATTGAAGAGCCCTTCCACTCCATGCCAGAGGCTTTCACTGTGTGTGTGTGTGTGTGTGTGTGTGTGTGTGTGTGTGTTTGTTTATTCACGAATACATATCGAAAATTCAAATGTTAAATATATTAAAATAAAAATAAACAATACTCTGATCAAATTATTTTTCACCCCTAATAATTCAAGTCAAAAAAAGTCAGAAAAAGGTGCTCAAATTGAATTGGACAGAATCATATTTATTTTATTATAACTTTAACATTCTGTGGTGGTTAGATTTCACAATATGGTAGGTCTCCTCATTTGCTTCTAACTTTTAAATTATTATGGTCTTTCTTAGCTTCCCTGCATTGTGAGACAGACTACTGAGTAACCTTGTCCTCCAACGACGGACATTTCTTTCTAGAGAAATACTTTGACGTTGCACAGTAATAAAACCAATTGGACTGGCCATTAGCTGTGAACATTTAGAGACGTAAACCGCCATTGTATCTAAGGGAACAGAACCTTGCAGCATGCCGGGAATTATCCAATGTGTAGGAGTCTTCTCTGTGGATACGGTACGTCGTAGCTCCGCCCCCTGCTCCTCCGTGGAGCTGCGGTCCAGGATGTTGGGAGAGAGAAAGAGGGAAGTGGTGACACGCTGGTGGACAGTGACCTACAGTAGCGTTGTACTTCGGACATATACCCTCCGCTAATGAATAACGACACACTTTTTTCTTCTTGGAGGTGAGTACAATGAAACTCTTTGGACTTGACGTTTGTTTTTGGAGGGTTAAAGCCGTTTAAAGTGTTTGAGTAAACGGCCACTATCGAGTTTTTAAAAGGAAAACATGTGAAATATGTCAAAATGAACTAGCATAAGTACTCGGATAAAGGAAGTTTCAATATTAGTTGTGAACCAGAGCTTTGTTTGGAGGAAGAAACACACAGTTGGTGACATCTACTAGCCGCTCAAATCATGCCTCGACCAGCCCTTTGTTGCTCTGCCCGCCGGGACAAATATGTACCAAATACAAAAAATCATCTCACATTTCCCCCTGTTATCCATGTGAAGTTAATTATAGTCACCATGTGCCAACAAACCCATTTGTTGTTACACCCCTCCCATTTGTTTTCCAAAGAATGCAGGAGGGAGTGTTCACGCAGTGATTTAACGAGGAATGAACTCAAACTGTCACTTTCACCTGAAATATAGTGGTGGGGGGGGGGGTGTAACAGAGGTGGTACAGGTTACTCAGGTTACCTAGTTAAATAGATAGAAGTTAAACTCTGGTGTAGGTTAACTAATCTTAAAAACGTTTTTTGTTTTTTTGATTTACACAGTGGAGACTATATGTCAGTCATTAAATTGCTGCTCAAAACTTAATGCAGATACAAGATGTCTGGAGGACTGTTGTCTCTCTGCACAGAGTAGAGTCACATACTTCTGGACCAGGTTTGGACTCTCAGCAGATCTCAGAAAGCTCTGTTGAGCAAAACCCTCATCAGATGTTTGGTCTGATTCAGCAATCTCATTAGATTCATGGGATTTAAATTAGTCAGTTAATCAACAGTGTAAACTGAGTGTGAAATGTCGGTCAGTGTTACTCGGTTTGTGTTTGTAAGTTTTCCTCTCTTGTTGCTATATGTTATTGCGGATGTGTTGCATGTGATGGATTGTAGTTGGTTACAAACAGCAGTGCACATAAGTCCAGGTGCCAATGCACTGTTTCTTTTTTGCAAACTGCAATTTTGTGTCCTTCCGTTTTCAACCACCACTGATGTGTAGATAGTAGCTTTATGAACATGTGATTATTAAACAGGACTTTAGGTCGCACGCTTAATCAGGAAGCGAGCTCTGTCTCGATTATTAAACGAGAAATGTAATATAGCTGTATTTGGACAATCCGGGGTTCAAACGGGTGCAGTAGATTTCTCCAGCACTTTACAAATGGGGTATGTCAGGTTTCCGTTGCTTCACCATCAACACTGCACCACAGTCCGTTTTTTAAACTAACAGTAATGTTGTTCATGAAGAATGTCTTATGTCCCTGCTGTAATAATTTGAAGTTTGGAAACAACTGTCAGGTTCTTCCAGTCTGTCACAGCGCCACAATCAAATCCCGCCATCACTTCCCTCTGGGGGCTTTCATTCCTTGATCTTATCTTTTTATAATAACAACCCACTGAAACAACAGGACTGTTGAGCTGGATAGGCTGTGAGAATTTTTTTCCTGCACTCCCATGCCAACCTGACACATTATCTCAAAATACGGGGACACTCCGGAAATGCTTTGAAACCCTAAGATTCATAACCTTTAAAAGGATTATTTGGATTATCTGGCGTTGCTATCAAGCTCTCAGCGGTGCAGAGAGATGTCGACCATTTGCACAGACACTGCTCATTTTCCTCCACGTTTCTTGTGAGATCCACGAGCAGACTTCAAGTGTCTTTACTCCCATTCTTTCTGGCACCGCAGCTCATTTGTGAGAGTACACTACTTTATCCTTCTCAGTTTTAACAGCCAGGCTGGGCCAGTTGACAAACCCCCCTCACACAAGTTAGCTGTTTTGGGTGACACATTGCAACATACACAAGTGTGCACGCACTCGTTGCGGCCATGAAAAACACGACAGGGTAGCAATACCTTGTTTTATGTGTACACTCGCTGTTTGAACACTAGTCTAGTCATTTGGGTTACACCTTGAGGGTTGTGAGGAGGACTCTTAGACCGGGAACAAGGCGGAGGCACTGCATAGTGTGCAGGTTTGGGCAAGCAGACTCTTGGAAAAATGGTGCAATCTTTTAAACCGTCTCTGGAACGGTTAGGCTGAAGCCGAGGCTCTTTTCAAACTGAACGCCTCGATAGTTAACTTTTAAAATAGCGTTGAAATGGAACTATTGATTTGTGCGAGGCACCAAAGTGTTGTTATTGTCAGCCAAAGACGGGTATAATGGTGTGCGTAAAGGACCGAGGTTTTATTTACAAAGGCATCATCGTGAGATGGTTGGAAGTGAAGAATGAGGGGGCAGTTTGGATTGTTGCTGTGTTTTGGCAGCACACAAACACACAGACGCCACTGCAACGCGCACACACACTCTTCCTACGCCTTGAGTAGCATTCAACTGGTTACTGTTTGCTCAGTCATGATGAGAACCTCACACACATAGCAGCAGGGCAGGCACACCAAACCAAGCGTGTCGTATGTATCTAGTTAAATCAGGAGGACGTTATTTCATCGCTGCCCGCCATCAAAGGTTTTGATTGTCTCAAAAAGGTCTCGTTAAAGCAGAGCACTCCTCTCCGTTTTCAAGGCTTTCTGCCAGCTGATCACCGGTCCATGTATACGAAGTGAGGCTCTTTCACACTCAGTCCTTTCTGGTTTTCCATGTACAGCTTCCAACCACTCCGTTTAATGAAGACCTGACAATGTTGGACTGGTGATGGCGGCTGGATATGGCTCAGTGAATCAACAATATATTATAATTCATCCTCTGTTGACCGAAGTGAAGATCTAGAGAAGATTGGTTGACCTGACACTGTTAGTGTGGCGAAGTCCCACACACAAGTCAGCCCGTGACACAATTGTCCACACACTTACTGACTGTGTCAGACATCTGTGGGAGGGTGTGAACATTGTCCGAACACCATCACTCGTACTCGATGCTGTCCTCAGTCTTAATCATTAAATAATCACAATCAAATAATGAACTCCTCGTTGCACTGATGCTTCATGATTTGAATCGCACTTGTTCTGTGAGCCTCTGAGTCATTGCGTGTGTGACGTTATCTTTAATGGATTTGTGGATATTGAAATGTGCTCTTTTGGTGTTTTGAGAGGCATTTATTGGTAAACCTCAACAGCACTCAAAGCATTTAAAAAGCTGTACAGGACTTCATGCAGTTCAAAGTCTAAGGTGGAACATGGAATAAACACTATGAACAAACTGTTCCACACGCTTCTTTAGTAGATATCCGTCTCGGGAAGTTCCCGAGACGGACTTCGTGGAAACGGGGTGTTAATAACAATAAGTGATCAGGCAGTTTTATAAAGGTCAGTTCCTCATATTTGTGTGGTAAATGTCCACGATTACTGCACTTTGAGAATGTGGGAAGAAGCAAATCCTCAACT